TGGGGCGTAGCAGTATGATGAGAATGTTCACAGAACATTCAACCATTAAACAACTTCTCTGCTACCTGAATATAATTTTTCCAGGCAAATGCAAATCAGGCAAATCCATAGCAAATGAAGATGTATATAAATAAATAAAGAAGAACATCTTGTCCAGTCTTACTTAATGTTTTCCTTTGACTGCACTGAGAGTGTCCTCATGTACATCCTTGTGTGGTATGGTAGCTGCTCTGAAACACATAAAAAGTCTCTGCAGAGAATCATTTAAACAACAGTTACCTGCCCTGGATGACATCTTCACCTCCCGCTGTCTGCAGAAAATACACAACAAGATTAATTCCATTCTGCTCATCACCTGTTGGAACTGTCGCCCTCCGAGAAAAGCTACAGGTCCTTTAAAACATGCACCACAGGATTCATGAACAGTCTCTACCCTAAAGCCATCACAGTACTGAACTTTAAACTGAAGCGAACTCACTTAAACACATTACGGTTCTTTTCCTGACAGAGGCAACAGATAGCATCTTTTCCTATATATATCTCATTATGAAAATAAAGTGGGTTGCACAGGGTAGTGGCCACAGTAAAATCAGACTATCAGTGTTTACATAGGTTACTTAGTGGCTTTGTAATAAGCTTCTGCCACCGGTGCCGACATTTTGTGGCAAAAATCCGCTTTACGGCAAGAAATGCGTCATGTATTGCGAAATTGGTTGGTCAGCCAATCAGGGACTGGAGCAGGTCCTTTTGAGGAGTTGGGCATGAGATAGTTGAGTCACGAGCACAATGGCAGACGGACAAAGTTTGGAGACAAGAGGAAAAACAACCTAGCAAAAGAAAACGAAAACATTCACATTCCCTCTGGCTGCTCCCAGGTCCATGTTGGAACGAGAGCCAGACCTTCGTCCTGATAAGGGATAGAACCTGACCTACCACCCAACAGACGTTATCTAACTTACTAAAACAAGCTACATCCATAGATGTAAACTAGCTAGCAATAACGATAGCTTGCTACTGTTAGCTAACTAGCTAAGTTACTTGTGTGTGACTGACCGAAGTAATTACAAAATAAGCCTACTCAGACTTATAATAACGTTAGCTTATAACTTAGGGCAGCTTATAACAGACTTATAATAGCTTCTGAAAACCAAAATGTGAGAAATTCGAACTTACCATTGTCAAGTAGCGATCTCTGATCCCCACGGTCAATTTGGTCATTGCGACAGTGCGACGCAACACCACTGACGCTAGGTGGTGCCAAGCTAAAAAAACAACAACGAATCCTATCTGTTGCCTCTTTAAGTGCAATAACTTATTTTATGCGCAATAATATGCATGGACAATTTTAAAAGATAATTTAACTGCATATGTTGGTGATGACTGTATTAAGTGTATGTACAAATGTGTAGAATGCGAGGGAAGTAGAGGCATTTATTTACTTATTAATATTTTAAACTTTTTTTTTAAGATATTTTTTTCGGGCATTTTTAAGCCTTTAATTGATAGGACAGATGAGTGTGAAGAGGGAGAGAGAGAGAGGGAGTGACATGCAGCAAGGGGCCACAGGCTGGAGTCGAACCCGGGCAGCTGTGGCAACAGCCTTGTACATGGGGCGCCTGCTCCACCACTAAGCCACCGACGCCCCAATATTTTATACTATTTATCCTTTATTTTTATATATGAGCCTGGTCCTTGAGTGCACCTGAATTCCATTGTACTTTTGCACAATGAAAATGAAGGACAGCTGAATTTGAATTTGAATCTGAAAGATGAAAGTTATGATATTTTCACCTCCAACAGATTGCAAAGACACTGACAGAACATTTATGGATTGTTTTCAACTAAAATTAAAACATCACTTGATAATGATAATGATAATGATAAGAATCATTCCAACAAATGCATGATGGGAAAGACTCGAGTCCTCTTGTAAACCTGAGCAGGAAAATTAGGGTAAAAGTTATGAGCGAGTGAATGAATAGCCTAAATGATCATGTGTGAGGAAATCATAGTGAGCTGTACAATATTATACAAGTTGAAATGAGAGCTGTGTTTTAAGTGAATAACTAACATTTAATCAAACTGGATGGTTCCCTTTAGATGCATGTGCAATGAATTGTACATGAATTTACTGTATTGAATTGAAGTGAAATATTTGCCTCTGAAACATCCTGACACCATCTGCTGGTGACTTAATGACATAGCAGCATTTTCTCCTAATTACTCACCCTGTGACAGCTGGAAGTTAACATGAAAAGTAGATGTTGAGAATGCTGAAATGCTTGGTCAGAGTCCAGCTGGATTAAGACAGGGGGGAGGTGTCCTTCTACGACCCTGAAGACATGACTCACATCTCCAGAGAGACACTTGCACTGAGAAACTCTTCCCATGTTTCAGTGTCGGACCGGCTTGTGATAAAACTGATATCAAAATCTGTCACACTGAGATCTCTCTGTCATGTTCAGCTCTGGTGCGGTCTAGGCGATTTATTGGGATTTTTAAAATGGTGGCGTTTTTGTCCATTACAGACAATTCCAGTTAGTTTTTCACAGGTAAGAATCCTGTAATTTGAAAGATCCAGGTTCAAGAAAAATTAAGATTTGATTTTTTTTAGCCAAATAACATGATGGAAAACATTCACTGGTTGTTGTTTCATATATAATTCAAAAGCACAGAATGAGAAACTAAAGCATAAATGTTGGCAGGATCATTGGCGTAAGGTAGTTAGAATGGGCCCAAGTGCACGCTATTATGAGGGGCCCTATTGACCTATGGCTAAGCCACGCCCCCCTCCAGTCATTCGGACAAACTATCAACATTCAGTGACCGGCGCTATGGCAGGTGTCACAGTACACGGCATTTTGCAGGAGGCAACTGATGATTTTTGGGGAATTTGTTTTGCGAATCAACATTTTTTCGAATCAACCAAAACCCGGCTAAAGCGAGCATATGTTAGTTTGTGCGAATCAGGGGATTTTATTTCGAATTTTGGCGTTTTCATCATAATTTTCCGATGTGATACTTCTAGATGCACATCTAAACAGGCTGATGGAAACATGGCTATTGATAAGTAACTAAAAGGGCCTAAACTACACATTGGAGGGATATATTCATCATTTTATTGTTGAGAAGGTCGATGAAAAGCTTAAATTACAAGCCAAAATTTACAGGTCACAGTGTACGCTTGTGAACCGCATCTCGTTGCCGTCACCATTAAAGACAACAAGATAAAGTGCCACTGAAGTTAAGGTTTTTGGCTCAGAATATGAGAAAAGGATAACGGCCTTTTTACCATCTTTACCAAGAGTGTCTCTCCGTTAGTTTGGTGCTACAGTATTTACACTGAATCATTCAGCTTAACGTTTGCCAACCTTTGTTATCTCTGAGATTACAGATAAGTTAATGAAGCTAAGCTCCAGAAGTTAACGTTAGCTTAACTAGAGCCCTTTGGGCAACAGCTAACAATGATGTACGATCACCAAAGTACAAAACTAGAACAAAATAGGCTAATGAACTCCCAGCAAACAAGGTGACATGATGAACAACGCAGCTAGGAGCTAACATTAGGCTAACTTTAGCTAACGTTAGCTAGAGATGTTAAAGATAACTTTATATTTCTTTCCAGCAAAGTGACAATATGTTGTCTCAAACACGATGTTGACTTACCTTAGAACAGATGTAGACATCATTGTTAATCTTATTCACGTTGAGCTGATGTTGTGGTCTAACGTTACCACACAACTTTATCCACTTGCAGATACTTGATATTGGACACATTAACATACATATTACACAGCAATCATCATTACATATCTGTATAAGACAAATCTACAAAAGAAAATAGGAAATTATTAATTTAACTTAATAGTTTTTTATTGGTAAATTATAGTTTTTTAAATAGTTTATGCAGAATAAGTTTATAATTTGTTATAGATTGACACTGTTTTGCAAAACCAGAAAACCATGATGGAGATGGGTTTGCCTTATTTAGGGCATGTATGGGAAATAGCACCATTTTTGTTTTGATGTGAGTTCTTCGTTGAACACAGTTGTATTTCCAGGTGGCAGTTGGGCCTCTCCATCCCATGTCTATATTCACGCCCCTGGGCAGGATTATGTCTGTGAAGCATTCCTGTCAAAATGGTGTTTGTGGCTTAAATGTACTGCAAAAATCTGCAAGGAGGCGATAGTATGTGATAATTTGAAGCTTTTATCTCCAACTTTGTTTTTCATTTACCATCCTTGATTGTTGACTGTTCGACATATTCTGTATAATATTTCTTCTTTTTTTTGTTCAGAAAAACAAACAAATTTAATCTCCATCCTTATTTGCTCTTCTTGGACTGTAGAAAATTCTGCAGAATTGCTTTATAATATTTATATTTATTTGCAGGGTCAAATCCAAATTGCAAGAAACTTGAACAGGTTCATTAAATATTGACTTTAACAGTGTAAACTGGGACTTCAATTTAAGTTTGTTTTTTATCACCAATTAATCTGTTTACTGTTGTAATCAATGAAATATTAGAATAATGTGAAATCACCAAAAGCAAATGTTTGAATTTATTTTTGATATACGATTGTAACAATTGATTATTCAAGTATAGCAGTTAATCAAACAGCCTCACCCACGCTCCACATGTCAGAAGAAAGTCTCATGTCGATAATATGCATCTAAAAATTGTTGACTGCAAAGCTCTGACCTTTAACTGCTGATGTTGATTTTTAAAGGTTGCCAGCAGTAGTTACTTAATCTTAATCATTATCTATCTTTATGACTGCAAAGCTGCATTTATTTTATAGTTCTTGAGCATTTATTGAGGTGGAGCTGCTGTTTGTTCCTGTCCATTAGATAAGACACAACCCATCAGCACACGAGTCTGTGAACTGCAGAAGTTTTACACTGTGGATTCACTTTAAGCTGCATTCAAAAACTTTACTTCCATCGATAAAAACGACAGCTCACTTGGATGCGTTTGCAAACACAGAAACTGCTTCACTTTTCTATTTAAATGATCATTTTATTGTTAACACCTTAACACATTTTCTTGAAGTTATAGAAACACGTGTAGCACGTAAGAGAACAGAGCAATAATCCGAAGAATCAGAGAACTAGAGGATTAATATTATTATACAGAAGAAACCCAAAGTGACAAAAAGAGACAAAGGGAAACTAGAAAGAGCCAACTGCAGAGAAATGATCGAATCAGGTTGGAAACAGAGGGAATGGGAGAAAGAGTGAAAGACACCCTACGAAGAGAAGCCAACTCAGTGTTGTCAGTGCAACGTAGTCACTGGCTGGAGAAAGAGGATGGCAGAGGTTCAGAGTGAACCCAGCGGCTCCAGTTTATCTCAGTGATGCTTCGTCTGACTAGACAGCTGGCAGGAAGGCAGCAGCGCTCACACTGACCTTAAGAGACTAGAGAAGGACAGTTATTGTAGTTTATATGCAGGGCTGCACAGTTAATCGTTTTCTGTCATGATGTCGACTTTGATCATTCGTACAGAATCATGATTTATCGGTGGCATTGGTACATTCTATCTAGTTAAGAATGTAAAAAGTGTCTGGAAACTGTTTCTGATATAAGATGAACCATGGGTGGATTACAGGACAATGGGGCCCCTGGGCACTGACATGCAGAAGGCCCCACCACCTCTTTTTTGTTGTTGTTTGTGTTTCTTTGTAATTTCTGTATGTTGATGCGGTGCTGTTTTTGTCATCCTTTTTCATCTCTTTAGTCATTTTAAGTGTCTTTGTTGTTGCTTTCTGTCTCTTTGAAGACATTTTGTGTCCCTTTGCAATCATTTTACATCTCTTGTAGTCATTTTGAATCTCTCTGTAGTTATTTCATGTCTCTTTGCTGTTGTTTTGCCTCTTCTTTAAGTCGTCACGAGTCTCCTTGTGTCTTCTGCAGCTGTTTTGCATCTTTTCGTAGTTGCTTTACATCTCCTAGAAGTCATTTTATGTCTCTTTGCGGTTGTTTTGCCCTCTTTTCAAAGTCATTGTGAGTGTGCATGTGTCTCTCTGCAGCTGTTTTACATCTCTTTGTATTCGCCTTACATCTCTTTGAAGTCATTTTGTGTCTCTTTGTAGTTGCTTCACACTGTCTGGGGTCCTTTTGTGTCTCTTTGCGGTTGTTTTCCCTCTGTTCTGCGTCTCTGTTGTTGTTTATTTTAAGTCTTTGTGTAGTTTTTTGTGTATGTGGTTGTTTTGTCGTCTTCTGTAATCATATTGCGTCCCTTTGTCTTTGTAGTTGCTTCCTGTCTCTTTGAAGACATTTTGTGTCTCTTTGTCATGTTTGTTGTAATTCTAAATCTCTTTGTAGTTGCTCTGCATCTCTCTGTTATTTTATGTCTCTTTGTGATTGTTTTGTCTCTTTTTTAAGTCGTCATGAGTCTCCTTGTGCCTCTGCAGCCTTTTGCATCTCTATGTAGTTGCTTTACATGTCTTGTCATGTCATTTTATATCTCTTTGTGGTTGTTTTCCCCCTCTTCAAAGTTGTCCTGTGTCTCCTTGCATAAATTTTGAGTTTCTTTGTAGTTGCTTTGCACTGTTTGGGGTCATTTTGTGTCTCTTTGTGGTTGTTTTCCCTCTTTTGCCCTGTTCTGCGTCTCTGTTGTTGTTTATTTTGCATCTTTGTGTAGTTTTTTGCATATGTGGTTGTTTTGTCGTCTTTTGTTTCACCATATTGCGTCTCTTTGTAGCCATCAAGTCTCTTTGTAGTTGCTTCCTGTCTCTTTGAAGACATTTTGAATCCCTCCATAGTTGCTTTTAATCTCTCTGTAGTCATTTTATGTCTCTTTGTGGTGGTTTTGCCTCTTTTCAAAGTCGTCGTCAGTCTTCTTGTGTCTCTTTGCAGCTGTTTTGCATCTCTTTATAGTTGCTTTCTGTCTCTTTGTAGTCAGTTTGTGTCTCTTTGCGGTTCTGTTTTGCATCCCTGTTGTTGTTTCGCTTAAGTCTTTGTGTAGTTTTTTGTGTATGTGGTTGTTTTGTCGTCTTCTGTAATCAATTGAGTCCCTTTGTAGTCAGTTTGTGTCTCTTTGTAGTTCCTGTCTCTTTGAGGTCATTTTGTGTCTCTTTGTAATCATTTTACATCTGTTTACAGTCATTTTGAATGACATTTCGCAGGTGACACTTTGGAGCCCTGGGCCTCTGTGCAGTAGGTCTGTCCAGTAATCCATCCATGGATGAGTAAAGGATAATAATTTAGTTCCCCAAATGTCTGAGGAAAAGAATCCTGTGCCATCATCATGATCATGAAGTCAAAGTGTAATCAGGACGGTCACTGTGGTCATAATTGTGCAGCCCTGAACAATAATCATAATGGAAGCTTTGTCTGATTCTACAGTGATAAACTGCTATTGTCTCTGACTGGATTGTCTGTTAGTTTTGACACTAACGTCAACTTATTGTGCAGCTACATTAGAAGCATCGACGTGCCATCTGTCTGTGTGCCTTTGTGCTTTACTCTGTGTGACCGTGCCCCCTGCTGGAGCTCATCCACTCTTTGAACCTTCTCACATCTTTTGCTGTTCCTCAAAGTGATATGCAGGCTCAGTGGAGCTCCTGTCACTCTTGGTGCTCTCAGCTACGTACAAAAGGCAGCCGTTCTGCACTGACAACACAGAGCCCCGTAGAAAAGCATGCCAAATAATCTTCATCACATCATCATCATCGTCATTATCACTGTCAACATCCTCATAGTGCCACAGTCTTTAACATCATCATCCATATTTATCATAATCCTCTTCATTATATCATCTCGAGACAAAAATAGTTATATGCACTTAAAAAGCTGAGAAAATAGACAGAGAAAGGTCGAGTATACCAGCATTCAGTAGAAAATGAGAAAACAAATAAAAAGGAAAACACCAAAAAACAAGTGTCCCGTTGACTGTCATGCAAAGAAAATGCCAGCTACGCTGCTAGTTAGTTGCAGTTGTGTAATACTGTGAACTCCCTCGTTTTAAATATGTGAATCCTATTATATTGATTTTCAAGGCTAGTAAACACACTATAAGAAGAACAGAAGAACAACATCTTTGTACTGTACATGCTGCTATCTCTTCTTTTTTTGGAGGGGGGGTGGGGGTCATGTCTGGTTAGCACGATCACGCATGAACGCCTTCACGTAACCTTTGACCTTTAAGTATTAGAACAGGGTCAACTAGGCATCAACACTGTTACTGGATGAGACACGAGTACAATACAACGACTCAGTGGTTCACCTTGAAAAAAACCTTCATTTGACTAAAAGCGTCATCACCTTAAAAAAAGGTGATGCCGCTTTCGGAAGGATAGTTCACTCAAAATACAAGCCTGTGTAAGATGGGTTTTAAAGTGACAGATGTCCCACTCTGGCAAAGTGGTAGTGAGCTAAGTGGAAGAAAACGATGGACACCATAAAACTGCAAAAAAAAACAGCGTTGAAAACTTCAATCTAAAGTTTCAGAAGAAAAACAGCAGAAAAAGAAATTCACACTAGGTTGGTCGTTACAGAAAAAAACATGCAGGATGCAAATTGGGTGTACTATCCCTTTAAAAACAGTCATGTTTTACATGGAGCAGTGTCCCTTTGAACAACAACAGACAGTACTTGCACAAGTGCATGAGCTGTACAAAACCAAAAAGAAACAAAAAAACAAGAGAGAGTAAAGCACAATAAAAATATCCACTAAAATAAATAAATAAATATTCAAAATAAATAGAAACCTGAGGACTATTCACCAAACCGACTGCCCGGTCTCTTTAATATCTTGGTCTGACCAATAGGGGTGAGACAAATGTGAAGGCAGCCAATGGTGGACGCGCAAAGTACAGAGGAGCTGATCGCAAGTCAAACCCCCCACAAAAAAAAATAGTTTTCAGTGCTGCAAAGTCCATTGGATTAATCCTGCCGCCCCTGGCACAAGCACTTAATATCATAAAAAGCTGATAATACATGAAAAACGGCAAAAACTGATCAAATCATAAGAAAAAAAGTCCTGGGCTGAAGGCAGGGGACTGATACGTCCTCTGAAATAAAGCCTTCTCCTTCCATCTCTCACACAACACACACACCTCTGATATCCCCACCCCCAGGCTTGTAAAGAATACACACTGAGAGCGACAGATGTACTGTATATGCTGCAGACACACACACACACACTCAAACACACAAATATTGCACCCTGTGGCAAATGACTGCCCAGAAATGAGGAACCAGAACAGAGAAGTTCGACACAAACCTCACAATCTGCAGACATTTATAAACTCATGGTACGGCGGCGAACTCCCCACACCTGTACAGTGGAGGCTTCAGTCACACACACCCTTGATTCTTCACTGATATGGGTATATAAGTGTATGTGCTTCGTATACAGTAGATAAACAGGCAGTGGCACCAGCTTTCTGCGCTATGGCTTCGGGAGTGAGAAAGGTCATGCAGCCTCCAGCAGGATCCTTTCCTCAGACTTCGTTTGTCTTGATTGAAAAAAAAGGTCGTGTTCCAGACAGAACTGAGATTCAAGAGAGTTAAAAATATCACAACTTTAAGAAAAAGCGCACTGGGCTTCAAGCGGATATTCAGCTGTCGCCTAGCAACAGCAGGAGCCACCAACAGCGCATCCCTCCCCGAGCACGTATTTAGCACCACTAGCCGAAAGAAACACACACAAAAAAACAAGCTCCCGGTGGGAACAGGGGCCAAGGCTGAACTACTGCTCACTGAGATTTCTGAGTCATCACTGTGTGAGAAAAGGCAGCATAGCACCGCCACTGTCACCGAAGTAGTGCTCAGTTTGTCATGAAAAAATATTGCAATTATAACAAGATACTCTGATGTTGCAGTCAGACATATTTCACTATGACACACAGCCTTTGTCGTCGTATCACAAGTCCTTATGTTGGTATAACAAGAAATAACATGACGTTTTAAAAAACTGTTTTTGTTCTCGCTCATCTGTTAAAAAGTTTTTGGAGCAGTTTGATGTTTTGTAGAGTCTGAGAAGGAGGCACAACACAACACATGGACAAAATGTCGATGCATTTAGTAATTTAGAAAAAATTAAGTGTTTTCATAATCATCATGGGGTAAATTTTACTCCGACACCTTTGATTTTAAAAATACCTTGAATTTGCTCAAAACAGTTTTAAACAATATTATTCCAATATGGTTTTAGTGTCCAGTTGAACCTGTTGATGTTTCTCTGGTCAAAAAATAATCCTTTACTTTAAAACAGAGCCGGGACAGTTTGGATCTTTTAAAGAAGGACTGTATGTGATACGTACTTTTAGTCAGTGTATTGGCTACAGGAGATGGTGGTCAACATGCTCCCAGTTTGAGAGAAGCAGGCAGGAGTACTGACATGGAAGCTAAGCAATGTACTGCTGTGGATGGGGGGCAGCAGCAGAACCTATTTCAGTTACTTAATATCAGTTTACTCTCTACTGAGAATATTTTCACTGCTTTACCTTGCTACCAGACTGAAGCTATCTATCTATGCTCTCTTCAAAGCCAGACTCCATTGAGAAAAACAGTAATTTAACATTGATGAACACGGGCGCTGCTGATCTACTGCTACCTGGATCAGATATTTTGTTTCACCAGATTCACCAGAGTCACACAACGAGGCAGCTGTAGAACAGCAGCTACCATGTTCAATTACTGTCAAACTTTCCCTGTCAGAAAGGGAAATGTCTGTCAAGGAAAAGTGATGAAAATATTCTCAATATAGCCGTGTATATAGATTTTTTTAGGGGGCTTGACTACATTTGGTGCTGCTCATGTCCACAGCATTACGTCTGAGGTGGTGCTCCTGCCTGCTTCTCAAAACTGGGGGCTTGCCGACCGACATCCACTTGGTAATACACTGACTATTGATAAGCATCCCAAACAATCTCTTCAAAAGAAACGATGCTACCTGTATGGCATCTGACTGATTCTTTCTCCTGTGAGGCCCTGCGTGATTAAAAACTGCTCTTAACGTATGCTTCTGTGTGCACAACTGTGCTCAGACAAAGCAGAATCTGCGTAACGATATCTCATCCCGAAAGTAAAGTAAAAATCAAATGAGTCCTTTAAACGAAACATTGTTTATTTCTTCAATATTGGCTATGATATCTGCTCTTTGGACCGGACGTTTTTCTTGTTGTAACATGGAAGATATGCACAAATAATTACTTTATATTAAACTTTTTTTGTAATAAGGTGAAAAGGGGATGTGTTTGTCTTAACAAAACAATTTGTCACTCCAACATTAAGTATTGTATTAAGATGTTCTTATTGTCATGCGAACAGATTTTCCTCTCATCGTGGCAGCGTTACAAAACAAGGAAGGAAACACTGCTGCTAAAAAAAGCAACACGTTTTTCTTCTTTTCTTTTTAGACCTCATCAATCAGGGTGCGAGAGTGTAGGGCATTCGACCGTTACAGTGTCATCCACCGTAAATTCACCGCAAAACTCCTACTGCACGCCATCTGCTTTGTGTGTTGGAAATGTTCACGTCTCGAGGCAGGAAGACTCTGAGCTCAGCGTTCACATTGCAACAAGGGAAAAACAACAGGTTCCTCCAGCTGTACAGAATCGTTTGGTGTGGACAAGCACACACCGTGTATGTCTGACTTACACGACCACAGTCACACACACACAAGGACTCTCTACATTCACACATGACACCATCAGACACACCCCTTCCAAAAAAAAACAAAAAACAAAAAAGAACACCTCAAACAAACAAACAAACAAAAACATGTTGACCATGAGTGTGGGCGCAGTATTATAGCTCACATACAAGAAGCAAATTACAAAAACTGCCAATATCATTTTCCACTTAATAGCCACAATAAAAAACAGCCACTGTTAATATGGGAAAAAAACATGCTTCCTTAAAAAGATAAAGAGAAAAACAAAAAAAGATTTCCTTCAACTCTAGAAACCACTGGCATCAAGAATTTTGAATTATACAAATTACATATACAATTGCAAATGTGTAATAATAATCATAATAATAATAATATAGTAATGATAATAATAGATTTTACTTAAAACTTTACATACTGTATTTCCAGTGCAGTGTTTATGTCACACAAGTGTGGATTCACAGGAGGACAAGAGGGTAGGTGTCACAAAATTTGTGGGGACGAGGGGAGGGAGGGAACCACAGGAAGAAGGAATCACACCGAGTGCTGAAAACACCCCCACCCCCCGCCAATCACCCAGTGTGCCGGAGGGAAGAAGAGGAAGCCGGAGGGGGTGAAGGCTGTCGAGCTGTTTGGTTGATGGTTGTCAGAAGATGTTGTAGGGCAGGCGATAGACGGGAGGGGGGGGGGGGCGCGATAGTAGTAAAAGAAGAGATGCATGCTGGGGGATGAGGCCGGGCGTCCAGTGTGGGAGGGTTTGTTGTTGAGGGGCCTGTCCCCCAAACCGACACTGGACTTGTTCTTTCATCCCTTCCTCCTCCTCCTCTTCCTCTCTCTCTCCAGCAGAGCACTCCTGACAGACAAAGCTATGGCATTCAACCCTGAGAAGAAAAACAAAATAAATCAAATATATGACAATGAAAATGTGACAGAGATTACAGGATTGAGACAAACTAAACTACCACAAGCAGCCGGTTAGCTTAGCTTAGCTTAGCTTAGTTTAGTTTATTCACTTTATTAATCCCCCTGAGGGTAAATTCAATGTTTTCACTCTCGCTTGTCAATTACACACAGGTCTGAAAGACACACACAAACAGGACCTATACATGCACAAAGTGGAGAGATGTCAGAGTGAGGGGGCTGCCCTTGGTGAGGCGCCCCGAGCGGTTGGGGGGTTCGGTGCCTTGCTCAAGGGCACCTCGGCAGTGCCTTGGAGGTGTACTGGCACCTCTCCAGCCACCAGTCCACGCTCCATATTTTGGTCCGGACGGGGACTCAAATAGACGACCCTCCGGTTCCCAACCCAAGTCCCTATGGACTGAGCTACTGCCGACCCTTAGCTTAGCTTAGCTTAGCTTAGCTTAACGTAAAGACAGAAAACATGGGAAAACAGCGAACCTGGCTCTGTCCAAAGGTAACAAAATCTGCCTGCCAGCACCTCTACAACTTTGGACAACTGCAAAAATATTTCTACGCTTAGCTAAGGTGCGAAAGTTGCCATGTCAGTGAGGATAAAAAAGCCTGATAGATTCATGCTAAACCTGCTACTTCTACCTCTAGGATCACTGTATATCAGGCAGCATCAACTTATTGTTGACTTAAAGATGAAAAAAAACCTCACACAGTACATAAAGAGCAAACACAAAAATAACTTAAACGATATTATATATTTTAAGCAGAGTTGTTGCACCTTCTCTAGACGATTAGCATACCAAAGGCTGATGGAAACACACACTGTTTTTTTCAGTGCACCTAAAAACTATTCAGCATTTGAATGAACACACAGCCACTGCTTCGAGACAGTGTGAGCACCCAAAAGAACCAATCCAATGTGCCCAATACTACATTTAGAACCAGAGTTACATATGTAACCAACTTCTTTTTACCTACTTATCGCTTTTCATTCTCTATTTTTGCTCTGATTAGTGTCTTGAACTGTCAGTTAATCTGGTCACAGAGAAGGTTTCACTGCCTAAATACATTAACAGTAGATGGTTGGGTGAGGTTCACATTTGGACCGATTCTGGTATCAGTGCCAGTACCTCGAATTCGTGTCCAGCGGTACCTTTTTTCAGGACCTTACTCTCAGGGTTCCCACATGTTTTCATGGACAAAATTTTAAAACTTTTCCATGACGTTACAAGGACCTGACCCTTAAAAACTTTTTTGTCTTGCCCCACTTGTCATTGGCATTTTTCAACATAATTTCAGCTGGCGTACATGAAGGGGAAGATGGATAAATAAATGGAAATGAATGGTATATGAAACGTCACACATCGACCGTATTAAAGATATGTTACATCGACAGCTGCAGGATATAAATTTGCAGTTATGTTACATTACATTCAAGGTTATCCATGGATGAGTGCTCTAACAATTTCATTACACACAAAAATATTCAATGACTTTTCCATAACTTTCAATGATTTTTACTAATTCCATGACTTCTCTAGGCCTGGAAAACATGACCTTGAAATTCCATGACTTCTCCAGGTATTCCATGATGATGGGAACCCTGTATTGTCTCTGTAATAACAACAATGTAATTTTTGAAAAAGCTGCAGTCAACAAGTGATTCTGCTCCTCTGCTTGTTTCTAATCACACACACAGCGTCTCTGTCTGCTTGCCCACGTGTGTGTCTGTGTATGTTTGTGTGTCCGCTCATCTCACTCGCTCTGTTTGGACACAACTGACAAATGGTGATTTAGTCCGTAACTTAAAAAACACAATCACAAACAGCACTGATACTAGACAAATTCCAAAATAAAACAGAAAAGAAAATAGATCAGACAGACTGAAACTATCCGCACTTTACGCAGAAAAGCACCCCAAAGCCGGTGATGAAGTTCAGTGGGCGGCTTCCTGGCTTCGGGGTGCCTTGCTGTGTCTCTGCCTCCTGTCTGAACCCGGCATTCTTACCCACATGCGCTCTAAGATACCGAAATTTAGCATCAATTGATTTCACTTGAATAGGTATTCTGTAGAACCGTCATCATTTAGTTGATACCCTAAAATTACCGATTTCAATACCCAACCCTAATACAGTAGGTTCAACAGCTGCAGCTTATTTCCAAAGAAGCACTTTGAAAAAAGCAAGAGTACAAACATGCTCTGAGAGGAAAACCTTCTACTGTCATTTTTTCACGCAGTTGTCCAAGTGCTGCGGTCCATACCTCACTGGAGTGGCGCAGCTGGTGCGCCTGAGCAGTGGAAGTGGATGTTCTGCCACTTGCTGTCTCTGCGATGCCAGACACGAGTTTCCTCCGACTGGCTGGACCGCGGCCGACCCTGGTTGTCGACAAACTGAGTCAGGCGGATGTAAGCGATGCAGGCTGCGTCCTCGCCGATCAGGTGGACGTGGGGGTTCAGGATGGTGGTGTGGATGGGCTTGCTGTTCTTAGCCAAAACTAGAAAGACGACAAGAACACTGTCAGCAGAACAAATGAGCAAGATAACACAACAACAATAATGACAGGACTACATCTTCTATAAAAAAAAGCTGTTGTGAAATATTACAGCCATCTATGGCTGGTCGAGCTTTTTCAGGAAGAATCTTAAGTTAGATTTCTCTTATTTTATTTCTAATTTGAAGCTTCCTGTGAAAACATCCCCTAAAGTGGACCATTTCTAACACTAAAACCAGAGAGATGTACAGCAGCTAAATGAGACAGGACTGACCACACTCCTCTTTTTGAGCCCCATTTTGTGATTCAAAATGCAACATCAGACTAGTAAATCTAGTGCAAATTAGGTAAGTGGTAAAAAAAATAATAATTTTGCACATCCTTTATTGGGAGTTGGTGATGGAAGTAGCTAACGAGCGAGCCATCTTGCTTCGTTCCCTTGCTGAGAGTTGTACATGCGGAGTACTGATCAGGCACTTGTGAGAAAAGGTGCCGGTAAAGACAAAGTTTATGAGCTGAAGGTGCAAGTGAGCATTTCAACAATCCTGGAGACAGAGTTTAGTTAGGTGGAGGTAGAGGATGTGGGCGAAACTCAAACTATATACTGTGCAATTTGCCGCAAGTTTGAGACCAGGGCAGAGTCATACACTCGTAAAATCAGAGGCACGTCAAGTCCGCCAAAGGTTGCTGAAGTGCAACAACAAGAGCTGACCGCATCTTGCTTGCATGGCAGCAAGAGGGCTGCTGACGACCCCTCAGACGAGGCCTTGCTGGTGCTTGGATGAAACATGAATGCCGAGGCATATCAGCTAAACAACAACTGTAAAAACGGGCTTGTTTACACTGGACAGGTGAATAAAACCAATTAACACTGAACCCTGTGTCTGCACTATAACGAAAGATAAACATGATAAAATGATAAGAAACAAGATCATAACATACACAAGATAACAAAACACAATCTATAAGCAGGGCCGCAACAGTGTGACCTCATAAGCGATTTAAAAAAAACCCCATCGATCTATCTTACGGTTCTCAAAGTAGAATCTGTGGAAGTCCATCCCCTCTACCAGGTTGCCCAGCGCTTCCGGCTCAAACGAGGTCAGTCCAGGGTCGCAGATCTTACTGAGGAGTAGAGCAGAACACGTTAATGTAGACAAACATTACCTTTAAGCCAAACATCTGAACACAAACCACACACAAAAACGCAGACTTACGCGTATGCCTCAAAGTCTCCATTGTTGATTGCTTCTATCAGCTGTTCAGTGATCTTGATAATTTCCTGTTTGCGTGCTGCGGGGGACAGTAGGCGCAGGAGTTAATCAGAGGTAATCGCAACAGTTGGACAGATGGAGAGCAGTTAGTTTTTAAATCAATTTAATTCATTAACGCAACAACAACAACAGATGCTCGGGCAAAGGCGACATAAATTCATAATCACCGAGGATACTGTTACTGAAGCTAATGTTTCAACTTCTCTTGTTGTTTATACAATGAGCCGGGAAAATATGCTTCATAGTAAAACAGCATTAATTGTGCTAAGCGTGGATTTTGTACAACTAACGTCTGTGAGCATGCAAGTTAATTCACTCTTGAATTAGTTTGGGAATACATTTCTCTCACATGCCAAACAAATAAAATAAAACATCTGTACACAAACAATAGAGACCCTTGCTCGGAACTTGTATTTAAAGACATCACAGCTGGTCAAAAGCAACCAAACGATGCATATGTTAGCAGTGCTCTCCGTGGCACACTGCAGAGGAGGTTAATAAGGCTCAGACACAAAAAGCACACACAGGTGGTTCAGATCCAACGTAGCCGACAAGAGCACTTAAACACAATGTACATTACTCCATGTTCCCATCCGTACCAAAAGCACATTGTTAAATACGATTGCTCACACACAGGCCTGCGCTACAACGTCATTCCATTAGGCTCGTGGTTTGCCACCACGCGTAGGGTCGGGGTGGGTCATGCTCGGTACTCACTCTGAGAGGAGGACAGGGAAGGGCTGGAGGGGGAGTGAGGGGGAGGTGAGGAGGTGGTGTGTGCAGGTGCAGGGGTGGGCCTGGCGCTGGGTACCGGCGCCGGTGCAGCGTCACTCTCGGGTGCAGGGGCCGCCGGCACCCTGCGCACGCTGCTTACCAGGTCTGTGAGCCGAGACACTTAGTGCCGTCCAGGCAGGATGGATGGATGGGTGGGTGGGTAGAGGAATGCAAAAGAACAGATTAGAAAATAAAGGAATGAAGAGATAAGGAAATCCCTTTGGAAATGTGTATACAAATATTACTACCTCTATTACTACACTTTTTTGTACTACATACTCTGAGCCTTTCATTTGCATGCAGCTATTATTAAATTTCAAAGTGTGCTTCAAATATAAAAAACATAATTTAAATTAAACTATACAGGTATAATCATACAATTATAAAAAAAAAAGATTGACTATTTTATATGGTCTAAACTCATTCATTCCTAATGAAGACATTTATCTCACATAAAATGTGTAAAAAGTGGAAATAAATATATAGTTTCATTTTTTATTACTGTTACTCTAACGAGAGTTAACAGTGCATTTGTTGGACTACTTTAAACAGTGGAATAATACACACCCGGTGCTCCAATGAGTGTTTATAGCACCTAGACGGTGTACAAAATACACTTCAGTGGACATGTTTATTTAATTAAAGTAAGATGCCACTCAGTGCAACAACATGGCTCACTGTTGGGTTTTTGTACAACAACGTACAAAACGTGAAGTCTCATGACCACTTTTTGTCTTTTCCAGTGGTCGTCTACTGTACGCTCCCTGTTCTTGTTCTTTTGTTCTACTTACTCTGCATGGGGACAACAGGGGTATGTGGAGGGGAGGGAGCGGAGAAGGCAGTGGGAGGTGGAGTGATGGATCTCCCTTCCCCGTCGGATGTGGGCCCTGAGCCCCTACGCACTGAGCCCAGCAGGTCAGCAAACTTTGCGGCAGCTGAGTTGAGGAGGGAGGAAGGGGGGAACATGGGAGACAGTGAATTTAAACGGAGGGCTGGCCATAGCTTGTGGCCATTAAGAGGAAAAAAAAACTTTGTCCCGAAGAGCACTAAGACAGTGGTTGTCAACCTTTCTCTTGTCAAGAACCCCTAAATTGATTCACATTAGTCGCCTGGGTCCAGACTTTAAATCCGCCCACTGCACTACGTTCGAGTCATTTGGCATTGTAACATGAAACAGCGGTTTCTCGGTTAAAATAAAAAAACAACCAATGAGCCCTGCGGGAGGACTCATGTTTAGCCGATCAGCGCCACGGGAGTGACTAACACCGTTGTCAAGCAGTGCGCCAGAACCAATGAGGGGTAATAACAACAATGGCAAGCGCTATGGGTGAAATAGAAACTGCTATCTAGGCTTTTTTAAATCCACGTCTTTTCAATATCACCCGACATCATGGTTTGCTTTCATTTCACTCTGATCCACGCTTAAAAGCTGGACAAAACAGTTGGCTGACAAAATAAACAGCAATGCTGGCTAAGGGAGCAAAAGCCATGGTAGCTTTCCAAGTTGACGAATAATTGCGTGCATGCACAGTAATGTTCACCATGCGATTTTATGTAAGCCTGAGTAAGACTGAATGACATTCATCAGTTCTCTGTCTTACCAATCTACCTTGACTTAATTGTGTTTATATGGACCATGTAGTCGTGGTGATGTATAAGTTACTCCCGTGGCGAATCCGGCACATCTACAGGCTACAGTAACTGTCAAATGGTGTGCAGACACCGCCTTTTCAGCACACCACGCTGGCGTGTTAATGGTGCAGACCCATTCAAGCAGATACGTTCGACCCTAGTGATTGATATGGGAAAATCAAACCTCCCTCCGTCACAGAAATCGGTTAGAGTGAACGCAATGTCTGACTGCAGATGGAAGCGGAGTGAAACGAGTTGACAGCTCTGTCTGATATCAGGTAAACACTTTAGGCCTCATGTGTCCATCTAAAAATACTTTGGTTGTTAGATATAATAAGACGAGAACTCTAAACTCAACTGCACAGGGTTCCCACACATTTTTATGCGCAAAATTTCAAAACTTTTCCAAGACTTTTCAAGGACCCAGATTTTTTTTTTTCCTGTCCTACATCAGATTCAAACTCAATTCAAATATTTTCAGGAGCCGGTATATGTGAAGGGAGAGACAGAATGTGGGGAGAAAATGTCACATAGCGACACATATTAGAGAAACATTGTGTCGACAGCTACAGGAAATACATTTGCTGTGATATTACTAGGGCTGTCAACGAATATTCTAAATTCGAATTTAAATTCGAATTCGAAAAAAAAAAAGGACCTTCGAATGTGAAAATTGATATTCGATTGTGGAGAAAAAAAAAAACACCACCGCAGCTGTCCTCTTTGCGAGTTGGCGTTGGCATCAGACGCGCATTTCTCCAGCCTGGTCGACAAGTGGTTCTGCTCCCAGCTGTTGTCTCCATCACCCGGCTTGACACATTCGCTCGCGGCTCGCGCAGAAAATAGACCAGACACTGAAACGATCGCTGCAGGGCGCGAGCCGGTCACGGTCCAGTGCTTTGAGGCTATTTGCAGCGCTTCCGCGGGAGGTGTGGCCACGGGTCAGAGAGAGGGGGCGAGTGAGAGGTCCGCGGTCGTTTATATCGTAATGTTATAGATAACTGTTTTATGTGTTTTAATGTGTAGGTATGTAAATGTTTTCAAAGACGTTTATGTGGAAATAAAAATTCCTACAAGTAGTTATGTTTCCTTGTACTAATACATATACATGTATGTTTCCTTGTATTAGTTTGCCCTCTTGTGGACATAATGCGGAAAAAAAAATATTCGAATGGTTCGAACCTATGAGTTATTTTTAGAAGGAATATTCGAACGTCATTTTTGAGCAATTTTGACAGCCCTAGACATTACATTACATGAAACGTTATCCACGAAAGACTACTGCAACAATTACATCACACAGAACAACATTCTTTGACTTTCCCAAAACTTGAAATGATCTTTACTATTTCCATGACTCTTCCAGGCCTGGAAAATGTGTGACCATGGGAACCCTGACGACAGTTGAGGAGATAACAGTCATAAAGTGATACCTATGATCGGAACAGTCACTCCTATGACTCTCACTCACATTGAGTCACTTTTTAGTCAATTAAATTATGAAAATAAACCACTCCTCGTATTTTTGGGGACCCCTTGGAGTTCCCTCAAGGATGCCTGAGGGATCCTGGTTGAGAACCACTGCACTGAGACAAGGATCAACAGCAATCCTTAGTGCTCTCCAAGACAAAATCTGACTCACAGACAGTGAAGGGAACATAAAAGACACAAAATTCATGCTTAGAAACGTCTGAAAAACAGCTAAAACACAGACTGTCATGGAGCAGTGTTGCCTTGCTGTTCCACGTACGTCCATGAGAAGGAGACAACGAGTTATTCCAAACACACGTGGCGTGGGTGGAACGGGGGGAGAATGGGATAGTAGAGGAGTAGAAATACTACAAAGCATCTCACTGTTTTTCAGAACGGCTTGTTTCTTTGACTGTTTATTTTGTTATTGGGTATTTCAGACTGTCTGATAGTAAGACGTAGGAATGGTGCTGACTAAGAAGACGCTGATGGAGGAATGAAGCACAGTGCAAGTCAGGGCAATGGGGGGATTTAGAGGTGCTAAATGGCAGCAGATGTATGCTTTTAATACATGCAGGGCTGCTGAATGGAATACACACAAGGAAGGGTTTAGTCAAGGTGAATTGCTAGTAGAGCATGTGGATGTGTGTGTGTGTGTTACAGGCTGCATTTGGCGAGCCATGCTGACTTACAGTGCACAGCAGCTGAGGAGCCCTGAGAGCTATCAGGCTGGGAGCTTGTGCTGGACTGCGCCTTAAGCGAGCTGTTGTCTAAGCTCTTTCCTGATAACATGCGCACACACAGAGAATGACAGCAAACACACACATGAATGCAAAGAGAGATGGGCCTCACAAAAAAAAAAAAAACAACCTGAAATGTCACAGTGTGGAATGATGGTGTGAGATGACATGAGGTGGAGGCAGATAAATACGAGATGATAAACCCAGTCAACCTTTTCTCGCTCTGAGAAATCACAGCTACTTTTTACTGAGAGTCCTCTGTCGCCTGATCTCATTGAAAAAGAAAAAAAAAAGGGAGCATTTTCCTCGTTATCCCAGTTAATGGCTCCATTACAGGCGGATTTACAACAGTAGCTGCTGCTGCATGTGAGGTTTTTTACTGAGACTTTAATGGAAGTCTTGCCAGTGAGCAGAGGATGGATGATGACAACGGTGATGGCCATGATAATGAGAGAGAGCTGGATGTTACTCATTACCGCTTGTCTGTTCAATCAGCTGGCACAGAGGGGAAACGCAACACGTTAACACTCACTGACAAATTGAAGGAAAGAAAGAGTCCCTGCAGGAAAAAATGAATGGCACAAGAGTGGTGGGAGAGAGAACAGTTTTGTGCCACCAAATTCACAGACCAGCACAAACATTTGCTTCAACAAATGTAAATTTTCCTCCTCTAAGAAACCAGATATGCAGCACGGCCCACACTGTTTGACTGACAGCTGATCCCTCGGAAGTCCAGTGCCGAAACATCCCAGCAATTAGCACTTAATTCCACAGATGTCACAAAAAGAACAACTTCAGGATTAGCAATTTAACAACAAGCAATCCTACAAATGTTAACTGATGTAATAAATTACCACCTACACAACAAAACTGCAGATTAACAACAAGTCACAACAAGTGGCCCTCAGAAAACTCTCTGTAACATATTCTCTACTATAAAAGTTTTGAGAGTAACAGAGCAGATATGTGTTCAGATGCTCCGAAAGCCTGCACAGGTGTTGGGTTACAAACCAGCTGTCGAGCACTCGCTGACCTGACAAGATCCTACAAAGGCCGACATGACATGAACTATTCCACTAACCACACACGGCTCCCCTTCCTCCCGCACTCACCTGGCCCTTGTAGTTTTCTCTGGTGCTAAGCGTGCTATCTGCGGGTTCGTATCTTAAGAGTCTTAAAACTGCTGTGTGAGACTAATACTATCCAAGGGTGGCGCTAGCAGAGCGGTGTGTTTTTAACGCCTCTCTGGGCACTCCGTCTCTGTTTCCTGCCACCAGGGCTAAATATAGACGCCTCCCCCTTTAGCCCCGACCCCCCTCCCAAGGTGCCCTTGCCCTCTCCTGCCAGAGGGGTGGGGTGGTAGGGCTCCAATTTGGGACCTTGGAAGGAAAGGATATGTGTAGGGGGAGCATACCTTTCACTGTGTACACAGGGAAAGTACAGTAGAGCCCGGGGCTATAAGGGTGACGCAATGCTCCCTCGGGGTACCCTACTCCCGTAAAGGGTGGATTTAATAATTAATTTTAACCCTCCGGTCCCCCTCGGATGGATAACGTCCTTTTCAGTCATTTTTCAGTTTTTATTTTTTGATAACTTTGGCTGTGTTCATGCATATAGCATGACTTTTGGTCAGAAACCTTATTTTTGGTGATATTTTGATATTTTAAAGCCGCTCCTAAATCCGGCCTAAAATACACAAATGGTAACCTTTTACGACACCTCGCCCCCTCGGACGAAAACCGTCCCCATTGAAACCCATTAAAATGACATTTTGTGATTCCCCTTCCATTTACACAAAAAACGTGATTTTTTTTCTATCTCTGGCAGTCAGGTTGGTTAGAGAGACCCAAGAATGGTAAAAAAACAAAACAAAACAAAACAACAACAACAACAACAACAACAAAAAAAAACAGATGGGGCCAATTTCCATTTTTGGGGCCCTGCTGTCTTTTCAATTCAATTCCTGGTTTTGCCACTTGTAGCACTATAGGCCCCTAACTGGGAGGGTAAATGCAGAGTAGATCAAAAATGGTCTTGCTGTGCTCATAAGGATGTGACAGTGTGGTCTGTATAAAAATATTGCAATATTAGTTTGCGTGTGTGTGTACATGGACTCAAAATACACAATGTCAAGTTAGGGGATCAAAATGGTTTTTACTAAAATCCAACTGAATCATACATTTTCTCCTGCTTCCCAGTGGAGCAAACACACACTAAATAATAAGTAGTAACATTGCCTGTATTTTTCTCCTATTTTTTAAAAAAGTAGAAAAAAATATTAATATTTAATATTTTTATGGTTGTTTTTCAACAAGGACAAAAAACATCCCAAAGGGGACAGGTGTCAGTGTTTACTGAAAAATTGAAACTGCACAAAAAATAATAATGCATCAAAACTGATGTTGTTATTAATCATTCACATATCCCAGACTGTGATAACACGAAAAAAAATTCCATCCAACATTTATTAAATAGAAAGTAATTCATAATTCATGTTTTTTTCATAAAAGTAAGTGACTTCATGTAAAGAAAATGGCATATTAAGGGTTAAAAATCCTCAAAATGAATGAATATTTGATATGTATAATCTGATTAGGAGTTGGTTAAAAGATTTAAGGCAAAAAAATTGAAAAAATATTAATATTTAATATTTTTCATGTTTTTTTATGTTTTTCAACAAGGACGAAAAACGTCCCGAAGGGGACAGGTATGATTTTTTATAAGGGGGACCAGAGGGTTAAACAAGTAGCGGTGTAAACTTTTATGAATCAGATGTTTTATGATATTCCCATCCAGGAGGCATGTTAGGTGAATGGGATTACATTTTTACTGGATATTGTGCAGATACATAGACGACTCACTGCTCCTCTATGAATGACTTCAGAATAGGGTTGCAGTGCTGCACATAGAGATGGGCACAAGTAATGTCTTTCAAGATCAAGTGATCACATAAATTACCTGAGAAGGGATCGATGCCTCGTGTAAACATATCTTTTTCCAGAACACATCTCAAAGAGGATGGCAGCAGCAATAACAATGCACAGCACTATGTCTGATTCATAATGCCCTTTTCAATCTTAACAGTCACAACTAACAAAACCTTGTAACAAAAAAGCATGAAATAATAGGCCTAATAATAACACAAAGACGTCATCTCAACAAAAAACAGGCATCACACCACAATGGTGTTAGCATCAGATGAGAGACAGAACACTGTGCACCCCGCAGCTTCACCACCAGGTGAGGGAGACCCAGTGTGCCTCTGACAGCTTGACAGCGGTTGTGACACTTAGTAGTTTGTCATGTTTAAAAGCTCCAGCAGTCACTCAATACAGTGATCTGTGTCTTGTTTTCTGTGCGTTTGAGTGATAAGTAATTTCGAAATGTACCTGCTCTGTGCTGCAGGAAAGGGGCCAGGTTTAAGATCAGTCCCGCTGTGGAAAACACACTCTAAACAATCAAGACTACACAGTCAATCAACATCACTTCCATCAAAGTAGTTTAATTTTTTAACATTTTGTTTGTTTTCCATTCACATATCTTTTTAATTTCCAAGTTTGTTGCCTCACAGTAAGAGGGTGCCTGGTTCACATGCATGCATGTTCTCCCCGTGTCAGCGTGGGTTTCCTCCAGGTACTCCAGCTTCCTCCCACAGTCCAAAGACATGCAGGTTAACTGGTGACTCTGAATTGTCCGTAGGTGTGAATGTGAGTGTGAATGGTTGTCTGTCTCTATGTGTCAGCCCTGTGATAGTCTGGCGACCTGACCAGGGTGTACCCTGCCTCTTGCCCAGTGACAGCTGGGATAGCCTCCAGCACCCCCGCGACCCTCAACAGGATAAGCGGTTACAGAAAATGGATGAATTTCCAAGTTTTCCATGGTAGCCATTGGCTGAGATGGTGAAAACGTGTGCAAATATGCAAAGAGCAGTGGTTCCCAACTGGTCCAGCCATGGAGTCCAGATTTTTCCTTAGTCATTAGTTAGAGATCCACACAGTTTAATACATTCAGTGTCATACTTGCGTTTGGACATGTCATCAAGCTAGTTTGCTCTCTGTCTTGCTCTACAGCAGGAAACCACACTTCAAAATAAACGCTTTGTGCTGGAAATTCACTGCACTTAAAAATAAAGTGTGATTTTTACAAACTTGACACGTTCACGAGTCACTTGTGCTCCATTCAGAATGGACTCGTGACCCACTTTTGGACCGCCACCCACCAATTGGGAACCACTGGCATAGAGTGTTTTCCTAAGTATTTAAATAATGTTTTTAGTCTGAACTCAAATCCTCTCAGGGCTTTAGATTTAACACTTTGTTTTTAAAGTACCTCAGTTACCTTTTCACTGAAGAAGATTTACAAACTATAACTTTGTACTTGAGTCCTTCTCAATAATTTTAGTCCTCTTTCCAACACGCTTCATTTTTCTTACAGACCTACATGATGGCTCTGCCATGGTTGCTAGAGGATTTGTGACATAGCAGCAAAGCCTCTGTAGGGAGGAAGAGGAGCACATGGAACAGCACATTCTGTTCTGTATGCCCGGCACCGAAATGATATATTCATGACCCGATTTACGCGTTGTACTCGGCTTAGATGTGGAGAACAGGGGTGTTTGAGTGTGAGGCGCACAAACACACACAAAATCACACTTTACGCAAACATAGATTCAGTCACACACACACACACAAACACACACACATGCAGCGGACACAAAAGCACTTTACGTGTAGTTACGTGCTGATTTGTGTGACGTGCACTACTGAGACGGTCATTTTACAATCCCAGCCACAAGCAACACTACTCTGCAAGCTGACACCTCGCACAGGCATGTTGTTATTCCAGAGGTGTGTGTTTCTCAGTATTAAGATTTCAGCCAAATGGCAACACTTTTGAGAAAGCCAGACCTCAACGGCATTACAAGGCCTCTTAGATTTCACAGCCGCCCCCAAAAAACCTCTCAGACACACACACACACACACACACACACACACAGTCTTTTCTAAAAACCAGCAGAAGGAAGCAATACAGCCAGGCTCCATGAGGGGTCAGTAAGAGGTCAGCTATCAGCCGGTTGACTGCTTCATGACTAACTTTACTGTAAGTCTCTTCTACACAATCCATACCACACATGTGTACGTATAACTTTTATTTTCAAACTAAGAGTAAAACTCAATTAAAACATCTCTATTTTGGTGTTTACATGGTGACTGAATAAAAAAGAAGCCATTTTTTGTTCCATTTCACACCTAAAAGCTTTTACAAATGGCCAAGAATCACCATGACACAAAAGTTCACCCTGTCAAAAAATAAAACACATCTCAGAGACAGAGCAAAAAACCCCTAATAAGCCAAAACAAAGACAACGCCAGTCACAAGAGAGAGAGAGTTTTAACAGTTGGCATCAAAATGCATCAGCACCCTGAGGCTCTTCAAACTGCCGTCTAGTAAACAAGAAGCTCATGCAAAGCAGAGCGCCAGTTGTAAGAGGACTTGTTGTGCCCTCTGTGTTGTCAGAACATTTAATGGTAATCATTAACCATAAAAAAAATGCCCAATTTCATAAATACAAGCTCACTCAGGTACAAGAATTATGTCACTGACAACTTGTGAGGAGAATCTAAGAATCCTTTTCCACATGTGTAACTTCAGAGTAGGAGCAGAACTTGTTGCAATCCACCATCACAAAACTTGAAAACTTAACAAGCTCTACTGAAAAAAGGGCTGCACAATTAGGGCTAAAATAATAACCATGATAAGTTTGATTAACATTGACAGTGTTTATTGGACCCATATATTTAGCCAAATGGAACATGACTGCATTGGTTATTTCCATCTTTCTTTTAAACCTGGATGGATATGTATCCACCAATCTGTATGACTGGACCATGTGGGAATTTAATTTGAGAGGACAGACACAGGAAGTGTCCACGCTCAGCAGTCAGACAGGAGTCAGGTTAATTTCCAGGGCTGGTACCTGCGGTTATTCCACAGGCTAGTCAATAACATGTTGGGCAGGAAATCCAAAGTGTGGGATCATTTTGAGAAGGTAAAGGACGAACCCAAGGTGATATGTAAACTCATCTTCATTGGTCGACTACAAACATGACGTATCATCTGAAACAAGGAAGTAGCTACATGCCCATTAGCCCACAGCGTCATTAACAGGCGACTCGCTCAGTGTGTGACGTGCACTTGTAGATAAAATATAGGCCTATATTAATGAAGGCTCATTAGTATGGTTTTGTATTTCTCTGTAATGTAGCACAGTGTTAACAATGTTACTGATACTATTCTTTCTCACACCTTCAACTCAAACCACCAAAATATATCGTCTAATAATTTATTAACATCGTAAACACGCGGGCGACTAGTCGACTAATGGCCCCAAATGACGACTGTTGATTGACGATACAAATTCTTAGTTGGAGGCAGCCCTAACCACTGTATTTTTTAGATTTATTATACACAGTGTGCTGTTATGGATGTTTGAGCTGACACTGGAAAAGGTTGGGGATGTAGTGAGGTAATGTTGACAATGTTATTCTTCTCGGCCTTCATGTATTCATCATACTGCAAATTGTGGTGTTTTTTTCAGGTGGTTTAACAAGTTGTGCTTCTTTGTGTTGCAGACACAAATCTCATGCACTCTTTGGATGTGATTTGTTCTCTCTAAATCCGAAATACTTCCAGACAATGGATGATGATAGATAATGAACAGATGATTTTCATTTTGTCCGTCTGCAGTTGCAACAGTCTTGACAGCTTTTTTTTTAGGAATAGCTTGATGTGTTATGCAGCAGAGTTTTTTATGATCCCAGCATGCATTTTAAGCGTCAATATTGCAGTCACTCATGGTTAATATTCGATTAATTGTGCAGCCCTACTGAAAGGCAGTCGACCAAATCTCCTCTACTTTCTGGGCGTGCTATCTGCTGAATGTCATACACTTGTTTTTAATGTTTCTAGTGTTCCAAAAAATGACTTGTCCTCCTCATGTGATCTTTATGATCACGAGAGGCACATCGTGGTGGCATTCTGCCGTTACCCACGTTCTTTGTAGACTGGCTGCAGCAACAAACAATTACATCAGTACAATGGAAATGTCAAGGGATGCTGCAAAATTTGCTCACAGAAGCATTCTGACCTTTCACTTGCAGCAAACGGTTCAATACATGACTTTTCTGAGCTTCGGAATTTGTCGTGTTGTTATTTCTTGTGTCTCTGCGGTCTTACCTTTCACGTCTTCATCCTCCACGGTGGTGTTGCTGCTGTCTGATGATTCCTGGAGATCAGAGACAGACAGTGAGTTTGGGTTCAGCGCACACATATGTGCTAAATACACATGAAGACACACATCACGACACTTGTTGTACACAGTCAGATCACAGGCCAGTAGGGGGCGTATTCCTGTGTTGTTATGTCAAGTCCTCACAAAACCAAAAGTGGTTACAGAGCACCAAATATGTCCAATTAATGTGACTACATTCATAAACAGATGTCAAACAAAGACGGAATCACAGTCTTGTTAAAGTGTTAATGTGTCACCACCATCCAGCCTCTGCGAATATAAAGTCAAACCATGCAGCAAACCATCAGCCCAGAAGCCCAATAATCCACAGCAGTCATTCTATATTTGACTTTTTTTACCCTTGACCTGAAACCTCTTTTGTCTTCTTCTACTCCAGGCAGCTTCATTCTCTGTGTGTGTGCATCACATTCACACCATGTGGACAAGTGACGTCTTTCCTCCGCAGGGTGCTCTCGTCTCTTGCCGAAACTGACAGAAACTCAATGGGATGTGCTCCATCCATCTATTCCAACAGTGGGGGCAGGCGGAGGGGATTCTCACAGGGCAATAAGTTGTCATCTTAAGCACGGCTTCAGATCGTGCGATCTATCCATCTACCTCTCTGTCTGCCTGGCTGTCTCTCTCATCTCGGGCTTTCGCCAGAGGAGAAGTTAGCTTCGGATTTCCAATTAGCAGATTAAATGGGCCTAAATTCCCCTGCATGTAGAGGAGAGTTAAGAGACTCGGTGACCTCATTAGAAGTACACGCGTGCACGAACAGCATCGCGAGCACAAAGCACAAAAGTGGTTTCATAGCCTTCTAAAGAGCAGCTGGTGACCTGAGGAGAGGAAGAACAAGGGAAGAGAAAAACTGTATGTGTGTATATGTGTGTGTGTGTGTGTGTGTGAGGGAGAGAACTGTGCCATCCTCACATATTGGAAATATCATTATAAGTGTGATGGCACCTACAGTTTGTTTTCTTTGGTCTGAATCATAGAGAGAAGTTTTCTTTCTGACATTTAGCATTTTATTCATTTCATTGCATCGAAGGCTTGTAAATGTTACCTACCAAAATATGATACTTATTTGTGCATGTTGCTGTAATTAACCCTCTCTGTTGTTCAGTCTATATTTGTTTCTCAGTCCATAAACTAAAGTATTTCACCCATTTAATCATGACTCGAGGCTTCCCCTCTGTTTGTTCTGCAATGCCAGGATGTCCACGCATCAGAGAGGCCGCTTTACTGTTTTATAAAACCTCATGTTTTGGATCCTTTCCTGTACAAAAGTGTCAATATGGCCGCACGCAGGTCAAATTCATCATACTCACATGACCAGATGGACCAAACAAGGCAAGCATTTTATTAGTTTGTAATCACCTGAAACTACAATTGCTGCGTTGTCTTTACCTGAGAATGACCTGTTTATATCTACATACGTAGCGGGTCCTCCAACACAGAGTCTGCCATGTTGTTTCTACAGTAGCCCAGAACGGACAAATCAAACGCTAGCTCTAGATAGGTTCATTCATGTTTCTGCATCGGCCACCATAGTTTTCCTACACGCTAGGCACACGGGAGAAGTTTCAGAAATATGCATACACATTCTTTTCGTCAGTTCTATAAAGCTGCATGATTACGTTCTATAACTCTCGTCGCTGTGAAACAGGGCGTACATGCATGAGCCTAATTTTCACACTAGCACAGTTCGATATTAACGGATGTAGAAATGGTCTTCAACATCTGTTTGCACATCAATTGTTGTACCATCTACCGACAATTAGACCTGTCAGTGTCAAATGACGGCAAAGAAAGTGTTTTTTCACTAACGCTGTCACATCTGTGAGGTTCTCAAATGCTGCAAGAGCGGCTATCATAACGCATCGCTGTGGACATTTGTAGCGTCCCCTTCACGAATTCATCACATTCCCTCAAACCATCGTCACGGTAAAATCTTGGTCATCATTATTGGTAAATATCAGAGGGAAGATCAATGATTCATTCATAGCGCATAAATGATTTAAAAAAAAGTGTCTTTGTGGACATTTTACAGAGTGATGTGCAGCCTGAAATAACAACATAAAAACAATGTTATCTGTCTCTCAACTTACATTCAGTCTCCTCCTTATCACATCACCAGTAGCTGTCTCAGCTAAAACTGAGTGTACGTGTGTGAGGGGTGCACGTTCTCCCTTTATAAATACCATTTTACCTGTGGAAGAAGGTGTGTGTGCATGTTTCTTGTGACATCTGGCCGCTGGTGTGAAAACACAAAACTGCAATGAAGCAGAATTCTTCCGTGATACTTTCAGTGCCTTCCTGTGTTGCCTCCCTTCAAACTTCCCAAGACCTGCTGTTGTTCACAATGCAAAGCCAAGCACTTCCCTCAGAGGTCTGACCCAAAATCTACTGGAAAGGTCACTCTGTTGTGATGCAAAACTGGGATGTGGCTTCAGGAAAAAAAAAGTTACGTTACTGTTCCCCTTCAGCTGTGCGCATCACAACTCAGCAAAAACAGTGGCACACACACACGCACAGACAGGAATAATAAATGCTTGGTCATACCTGATGAAGGGATCTGACTGCAAAGTCATGCAGGTTCATGCACATCCTCTAAACACCTACAGACCCACACACATTCACACTAACTGTAGCATCAATGTAGCAACATTTAGGAGGCTGCATGATAGGATACAAACCAAAGATCAATAACGACAACGATACAGAAATTAGGGATGCACCGATACCGATGTTCAAAATAACTACAGCCAATAGCTGATACCAATACTGAGGGTTTTTTTTGTTGCTGCTGCTGCTCTTGTTTATTTTGTTTTTGTTTTTGTTGTTATTTATTCCCCCTTTTGTGCCAGGGAAATAAAGACATATCCATGGCAAAAAAATTACTAAACTGAACAATTACCTTTGAATAAGCACAAACTCAATCAAAAAATAACCTTCTCTCACATTTTTCATGATATGTAAACTCATCTTCATTGGTTGACTACAAACATGACGTATCATCTGAAACATGGAAGTAGCTACATGCCCATTAGCCCACAGCGTCATTAACAGGCGGCTCGCTCAGTGTGTGACGTGCACTTGTAGATAAAATATAGGCCTATATTAATGAAGGTTCATTAGTACGGTTTTGTATTTCTCTGTAATGTAGCACAGTGTTAACAATGTTACTGATACTATTCTTTCTCACACCTTCAACTCANCGGTTTTGTATTTCTCTGTAATGTAGCACAGTGTTAACAATGTTACTGATACTATTCTTTCTCACACCTTCAACTCAAACCACCAAAATATATCGTTTAATCATTAAATTAATATCGTAAACATGCGGGAGACTAGTCGACTAATGGACCTAAATGATGACTATTGGTCGACGAGGAAAACTCTGAGTCAGGGGGCAGGCCTACTTTTTACTAAACATTTCATTATTCCCTCTTTAATATGTGTTATACTGCGGTGAAAACTTTAGCAAATTCCTCCTTCAAGCAACTTATTTATTGAAATTTTTCATCAAAGCTTCATTTTACCAGATTACATTTAACGACATCAAGCGAACATTATAATTTATCTTTGCTCAATACTCCTTTTTTTTTTAAAGATATTTTGGGGGGCAATTTTAGCCTTTATTTGATAGGACAGACAAGTGTGAAAGGGGGAGAGAGAGAGAGAGGGAGTGACATGCAGCAAAGGGCCACAGGCTGGATTCGAAACCGGGCCGCTGCGGCAACAACCTTGTACACGGGGCGCCTGATCTATCCACTAAGCCACCGATGCCCCACAATACTCCTTTTTACTAGCCTGGAAATCCAGATTCAAATCTAGAAAGATTTTGAGGCTGGCCCTCAACGATACACCCTTCCTACCCAAGGCGCGGCACTAACTGTGGCCTATTAAATGCCGCCACACGCAATTGGATAGCACGATAGCCAATCAGAGCAAAAAACAAGGTGACGTATTCATTGCACTAAGCCCCATTTGTTTGCCGACCAGTGGGGCTAACTGATATATTATGCTTTTGCCATATCCCGTCGGCAAAACAGCAAAAACGTCCTTCCTGGAAACGAAGGCCTCTAGGGCAGTCTTCTGTTCCTCTCTCGAGGAAAAAGATAAGTGTAGTTGGCTTAGCGTTTCTGCCAAAACTAAACTGAATGGACGCGGTCCTTTGGCAGCTGCCATCTTGGCTGTTTACTTTTTGACTCCTACGGCGCAGCACTGTCTTCATCATGTTACGCCCACCCAGAGCCCGCCTCTGTCAGATACACTGATCTGATTGGTCCGATGGCGATTCACCGGGCTCTACTCGTCGGGGCCAGATCCCCGTGCAGAGCAAATTCGAATTTGCTAGGCGCGGGGCATCTGGATTTCCAGGTTACCTTTTTACCGAAGACAGCTTAAACACATCATAATTTAACCCGATGCAATCTTCATTGGCTGTTAGTTACAGTTAACGTTAACAATCTCTCCTCTTGACGTTTTAAACACAGAGTTGTAGTTCACAATGGAGCATTATCAGAGACACGAAAGGATGCATCCCCTGATGTGTCCATAGTGAGTTGTTCCTTTTGTCCCAGAGGTGTCCCTCTCTCCATCTCTGTTCATCCCAACAACGTTTTCTATTGTCCCGGGACGATGGGAGGCTGTACGTTTTCAAGCCCTTCTTTCTAGCCTGCACAAAATTGACGTAATACAACAGGAAAGCATCTGCCACAGTGAATGTCATCTTATTTTATATGGGCCGATGGCGATGTACAGCCAATAAATCGGTGCATCCCTAACAAACAATATGTCTTTTAGCTGCATCGGAGCTTTCTGACAACTCCATTTTATAATTCTATAATCTAGATTCCACAATGTGGTAAAAGGTCCTGTTTTTGCATGAATTTAAACATAAAATCATTAGCAACACTGCTCATTATGCTGCACAATGCTCTGCTTGAACAAAGGCAAGACGGGGAAAAGAAATGCACCTGGATGATACTGAGTGTTGTTAGATTTTTAAGGGAAAGTTCTCTCAACGTTCGCTATCCCAATAACCACTTGTTCCATTCATAATATAAAGTAATCTATCTGAGGAGTGTAATCTAACACACACACACAGACATATGCACAAACCCATTAGTAAACCAATGCCATGGTGCGCTCACACAAATGCACGATGAGAAGAAGGATCAAAGGGCAGGAGAAGAAGAGGAAGAGGAGGAGAATGACAGAGAGGATAAAGAGTAGGTAAAGACCAGGGGATGATATATGTATACCTTCGTCCCGTCCACTGGATTATGGATGACAGTTGTCTGAGGTTCCTGGAGGAGGAAGAAGAGGAGGAGGAGGAGGAGGAGGAGGAGGAGGAGGGAAGATGGAGGACCGTGGAATAAACGAGAAAGAGGAAAGAGAGGGGAAGAGAGCGGGAGGGAAAGAAAGAGAAGAGGCTGTGACATAAAAGTTGATAGGAATGGATTAAGTATAAAAAGAGGGAGAGGAGAGTGATATGAATGTTGGATGAAGAGAAAGTGCTTGTTAACGCTGACAAAGGAAAGAGAGAAGAATCCTTCAAACAGAGAGAAGGAGTGGGTGGATGAGCTGAAAAATGTAATTGAGAGTCAGAGACAGTACTGAAACGCAGGGTGAAGTGTCTGCCATGAGCACATCAGTACTCGCACGCATTCTCGCTCTCTCACACACACAGTCTGTACACAGCCTGAGGAAAGGGGCAGCATTAAGTTGCACTCAAAACTGTGACATTTTTAAACCTCAGCTTATCCAGGCTTTTGCCGAACATGGCTGCTCTTTATTTCCGCACTGCCCTGCTGTGCATGCATAATCCTTAAGTTGCCTCCAATGCCCTACATGATGCAAATATGTGCAGAATCAAGAGAATTGTACACCAGAACAGTGAGCTCATACAATATAAATGAGCTCTGACATAGATAAACACCAGCCTCAACATCTTACAAGGCACCAGCACACCCGGCAAAAAGATGGCCCATAAGATGAAAACGAGTCATTCTGTTCCCTCACACTTGTCTCAAAAGAAAAGGCGAGCACTCCATCCTGGCATCATTTTGGGATTTCTTTCTAAAAGAAATACTGTCTGAAATTGCCGGGTCTTTTGTTGGTCAGGATCGTGTACATGGAATTGGCTCAGTTGCTCCACAAGATTAGCCGTATAACTTTTCTCGTTGTTATCACTTCTGCTACCAACACCCCTCTTAACCTTCTTGCTGCTAAGACTAAGCTGGAACTTCCACTCATAGCACAGCATAGTCTCCTTTCTTCTTTTCATGTTGTAGTTTCTGTAATCAAATGATTTTTTGTCATTTCCGCGACGACTTTGTTACATTTTTAGCACAATGAGTGGCTCTTTTCAAACAGTGCTGCTTGAACTTTGCGGCTCACAAAGCCCAAAGTGTTGCCGTCTTGTCACTTCATACAGCCGGCACTGATTGCTGATGATTCAGAACAGAGACGGATATATTTTCTCCCCTTTTCTGCAGCTCTCCACAGTCTGCCAAAAACTGTCATTTGATGTACAGTAAATCAGAACCCAGCGCCACCCCCCCCCCCCCCCCCATGTTATTTGCAGCTCTTTTCTCCCCCTACCAGGAAATGACACCTCTGTGATGACCAATCATCAGCTTTCTCCCTGGTGATGATGGCGGTGTTGTCAGGGCAACCGTCACCCGGGGCAACAGGCACCAGCGGCAACTTGGGAGAAGATGATGAGTGAGAATAAAGTACCTGGGGTTTGCAGATTAGAAGGAGGGGGCTGATGGTGTCATATCATCGACGCTGACTTTACATTAACACTGCGGCTCATGCAGGGATGTTCCAGTGGTGCAGATGAGTCAAATGATTTCATTTAGAGGGTCCTTTGTTAAACGTTAATAGAGTCAAGCCACACGTATATATTCAAGTATTTGTGCACGTCATGTAGGAATCTCAGCAGCCCACCACACTGCTTCCAGGTTGGAAAATTAAGGTCACGTAAGTGTGTCTCTCCATGACCTGGCAGCTCTGTGATGAAGTAGTTAATGTACCAAATGGCTAAACAGTAACTAGCTCAAGTCCCTAGCAACAGCATGGAGATCACAGCCGCCCTCCCACTCCCTATTCCCTTCAAGGATCAGGGGGAAAAAAAGCCTCTTGTGATCTATGGTTGTGCTTCTGCTCCGTGCACACTTCCTATCAAGTGCTTCTTACAATGTGTCTGCACATGTGCAAAGAGGACTGGGGTGTACGCTAACATCACATGCATGCACACACTCACAAAAGGACAACTGTCATTTTGCCTTCTCTGCGAAAGGACTGAGAGCAGGTGGCTAGCCCTAATCACTGCACCACGCCGAGGCCAGGCTACTGCTAGTGATACAGCAACTGGTATTCCCCAACATACCAGGGTAACCACTGGGTTACATCAGTTAGTGACCCACTGACCAATAACCTAGAGTCTGTAACATATTATCATTACATGCTCAGATGGAACTTTGTAAAGCCACTGTATGAAAGCTATATTTAGTATGCAGGAAACAAACTTGCTTGAGTCCTCAGCTGTGTTACATGTCGAAGTAAGTGAGATCATTAGTGAGGCATCTAGGATTCGGTTGCCAGTGATTTATAATTAAGCGTGGCCTGGGTGTATAAATGGCATGATATAATGCTGCTATTTTGGCTAAATAACGCGCAGAGGAAAATAGTTTCGGAAACATTATGCTCGTACACCCTTTCAAATGTAGCTCACTGCTGGAGTACGACTGAAATGAGTCAGTTTTATGAAGATTTATCTTCTTCTACGAATGTGCTTAAGGAACAGCTTCCAATGAAACCAATGTATGAATCAGGACATCGTTATCTGCTTTAACATTTTACAAAAAGGGCTAAACGATAAGTTATCGATACTTATTTTGTTTGTGTTTAAACTGATATGATCTCGAAATCTTTATGTAACAGTATTTACATATATAGTTTTTTATCATTCTCAGACAAGTACATTTAAACTTTGTTGTAGTTTTCTGATTCTGAATTGCTCTCATCAAATGTCAGTCTCTAGCAGTCCTGTGCTACAGAAACTGGAAGAGTTTGACCAGCTTACAGATATATTAACAAAATGTCAAAACGTCAAGCATCTGGAATAGATTCAAAAATTGCGAAGATGACCCTGAAAAGTCAAATGCAAGATACGCCAAACGAAACAGGTGTGTCACAAATCCACAATGAGCTCGGCAAAGCTGGAAAACTGTAAGTAACAGCTCAGCCATCTTGCAAAGTATTCTTTTTAATAGATATTATGGCTTATGTGACCAACAAAGTGGCTAAATGTCACTTTATTTTAGGTGCTTTAACTGATCCTTGTCTCTCAATCGCAAATATTTCTTACTAAAGCTTTGATGGTCAAAAACTTGAACTAATACTGTATGACAGTACTGTCAAATCAGATATTCAACCCAAGGCTGCACAGATGAAACAACAGCAGGGTTTCCCACACATTCATTCATTATTGGCCGCCAGCCACAATCAAAACATCTGCCGACACAAATAGATTTTCTGTTTTTGGACTGCTGGACTGTTCATTAGGAGCGCCGGTGAAATATATATTCTGTTTGGTTATTTATTGTACAACACAGAGCGCAGTCTTGGCATAAACGTAGCAGCAGAGTGTCAGGAACATTGGAAGTGAAACTTAACATTTCATTCTACCAGGTCTGAACTGGGTCTAACTGATGTGATCGGCTCTGAACAGATCAACAGATCAGTTGTCCACCCCATGACTCACAAAGTGCTGCTGAAGGAAAAAATAACTCATGGAGAGCTCAGCCTGTGCTGCCTTCAAGGACCTGCAGAAAAGTCTGAATTTAGAGAGGGGACACTCGCATGTAATAGGAAAAAAAAAAAAGAACATTTTTAAGTGTATCATATGTTTTAAAATTATACGACAAGATCAACTGGTCCTCAACGTGCTGTTGCAGCAACAAACCCACCACATGACTGAAGGCAGGGGCACAAAATACAACAACTGTCACGTTTTGTGCGCATTAAACTTTTTGTTATTATTTGTCATGATACTGAGTATCATTTTTTTGTTTCAAATTCTGGTATTGTGACAACATCCTACTATTAAATGGAGAAACCTCTGTCCCTCCGTCCGTCTGTCATCATCCGTTTTCCTCCTCACTGCTTTGACCTGTTTCTCTGAAGTTGCACATAGGCTTTCATCGAGGTCATGTGCAGACAGCTACGATGCCGTTTTTGCATTTTTCCCACATTTCTACTGTTTATATTCGCGTTTTTGCCCACTACTCATTCATACTGTGAGCACCATTAGCAGCACGAGCTGCGCATGCGTGGAGACCACTTGGAAAACACCTGCGCTCGGACCATAGTTTATGGCTGTGATATGCAATTTCAAGCACCAACACTTGCTGAAGACTAAGGTAATTATTTTACTGAACGAACGTGCGTCTGAGTCTGTGTGCGCGAGCCAGCCGTTACGTATTTTCACTTTACTGACATTAGCCTACAAACATTACAAACTAAACATTGCGCTGTGCACTTTGCACTGTTTCTTTCATTCTTTCTCCATGTTGCGTGTGTATGTGTGGACCTGTGTGCCCGCGCATGGCCCCGCGCACGCACGTGCCTCCGTGCCGTCAGCCAAAACTATGCTCCATGTATTTTGCCATAAAGCATGTTTCTAAATACAGTGTGCATTGTTTGTCTTACATTAATAATTATTACACAGTGCATTTACAGTGCTCTGATTTTGCATCTCCTCTAATATACTTTTTTTGATTTCTTATTCCTCTATACCAGGGGTAGGCAACCTGTGGCTCAGGAGCCACATGCGGCTCTTTAGTCCTTCTCCAGTGGCTCCCAAAAAATTATTAGGAATGTTTGTAGGCTAATTTGGATTAAATAGGCTGTGTTGCCGTCACGATAAGCCACAAATATATATTGCAGCTCCAGAGAGATTTTTTTTTGTTTTTTTTAATGTGGGCCAAAAATGGCTCTTTTGATAGTAAAGGTTGCAGACCCCTGCTCTATACATAACACATCCCCAGGTATGGACTAGTTATTATAAAATGACTGGACACTGGACAACTGAAACTGGGCATAAAACTACTCATATATATTTTGCATCCTTATACCTATTTTTTTTTCCCTTTTTAAAAATAACAGTATGTGATGGTATCATAAAACTGAAGCAAACTGACCACTTTAAAAATCTAAATTAGTTATTAAATGACTGGGGTCGCTGTGAAAGACAGTTTGGGTCTTATTCTAACAGATGTACAAATGATGATGTTTTTTACTGAAAGAAAATGATGAGAAATAAGTTCCCATGTCTGTAACTCACCCACGAAGGTTGGGTACTGAACTTGAACTTGCACAACTGAACAACATCGCCTTGCAGCCAGAATGTGGCACACTGGCACCAGGTGAAAACCTTCCCTATATCTACACTGCAAACATATCAGCGTCTTTCACTCACCTCTTAAGCAACTCTCATTTTTACCCATGCAGCTGCCTGCACCAGCTCCGTGCAGACTCGCACGTCTCCGTTGTCAGCAGCACACTCCCTCAGAATCTCTCTTCACTTGTGCCTGGCTGCTTTAAGTTTTGAGTTATTTTTTAACACCTATATTATATTTTTGTTATTACAGAGAGAGTAAAGTAGTGAAAAAAGGGACTGTTGGTTACCAGTACTGAATTGCAGCTGGCAGTGCCAGTTGAAATGTGAAAGGTATCCAACCCTATCACTAACAGAGAGTGTAAATAAGATGAAGCCAACACAAATCAAAAAGAGAAGCACAAATAATTTGGAAATCCCCCCTGAAGGTTGGAGTAAAATTCCTGCTCGCACTTCTGGACTATCCTTCCAGGTGTAAATGCACACAGATTCCCTCAATAAAAGCGCTTTGTGACCACGTGCCAGAAGCCCAAGAACACGCAGGTTTTCTCCAGCCAATAAGCCGATTTCTCTGATTTTCACACCATTAACAGAAGAGGAGGAATTAATCTCTGAAACCAGCTGGTGTGCTATTTGGCTGGAAGGACAATCTGAAGACCTTTGGACTTTGATGCTCTCGCAGTGGGGATCCGCTTCTCTACAGCGGCATACACAGGAAGAAGGGGGTAAATCGCACTGACAGCCCCGGCAGGCATTGGCTGTCCGTTCCTCTTTTGGGAAACTCTCACTGACAGAGAAAACGACATGGCAGAACAATATCAACCCGCGTGCAAGTCACATAGCATCCACACCTGCCATGTGGAAATGTTTCCTGACACCACCTGCTGGTTTAAGACCTGCCTGACCGCTGTGGGCCTCGCAGCAGCTGGGCAAAGATCGACCACAAACAACGAGACAGACAGAGAATAACAGACAAAAGTGAGAGAGAAGGGGAGTGGGGTAGGAAATAGGGGTCTTGAAGGACAGACGGGCAGTGGAATAGACAGACACACACACACACACACACACACTCAAAGGTAAAGGGGGGGGGGGGGGGGGGGGGGGGGG